AAATAAATATTAACCTATTAAATAGGTAATTAAAACTAATAAAATAATCTATAAACTATGTAAAAATATTAAAAAAATTATAAAATATAATATAAAGCTAAAAATAAATATATACTAATATAGGAAAAAAAGTAAATTCTATTACAGTACTTTTATTTGGACCAATGTTTTTATACCTTTGATAAAGAGTAAAACTTTGTTTTTTAACTATATTATTACTATTATTGCAGGTCTTATTTTCTCTTTTTAATACTTTACTGACACCTTTAAATGAACTCTTTCTACTATTTTTTTTTCTTCTGTTTTATTTTTTCTTAAAACATATTCTATATATCCTGAATGTAATTAATCTTTTTTATTTCTTTAGATCTAGAACCAGATTTATGAAAGGGCTGATTTGCTTTTTTCTAAGAGCAATCTCAAGCAATATGGCCTCTTTTTTCATAAATGAAACACATTATATTGGCACTTCTACTTTGTCTTAAGAACCTGCTTAAGTTATATGATCTTTGACTTTGCTATAAGATTTATAGTCTGTTTTAAGAGTCTTTTTAATTATTATATAGTTTTAGTTCTTGTATTTGATATAGAACCTAAAAAATTACATTATTTAAAAATAGTCACACTTCTAAATTAAAGACTAACTGCAAAGATTAAAAAGATTAGTAAGGTTGTGTTGGTTAAAACTGTTGTTAAACTATTGGCCATTGCATTCCTTAATCTGATGTTAACTCTACACCTACAGATAAGTTATTAAATATTGGTTCTAATATTACAGACTTATTTTTTAGCCTTTGTTATTTACTTTTTGCTGCTTATCTTGCTGTTGCCAACTTATCATGAAAGAGGGCTTTCATGAGATTATCTATTAACAACTTTTCAATTTTTGCTACAATATTCTACTTTTTCTGGTTAGTTATTTTTAATATAAAAGCCTTAGTAGCTACTAACTTATGTGCTTTTAATATTAAATTTTAATCATTACTTAAAAGAGCATTATTCAAAAACTTTCTAACTTTGCATCATTCATCATATTTGAACTAATCTTTTATCTTATTTATTTTTTTCTTAGAATATTACTTATTCTTTTCTGTATTATATACTGGCAAAATATTCTTTTTAAGCTTTCTAATTACTTTATCTATTATTGCTTGCATTATTTTCTCTATTGTTCTTTTAAGAGCCACATATTGCTAGTCAAGATATATATAACCTTTATAATCTCTATATCCTACTTCATTCAAGCTTTTGTATCCAATTTCATTAACATTTTTAAAAGGTCTGTTCTTGCTACTATCTTGTAAACCTTTCTTCAAATCAAAACCCATTCTCATTTTCTTTACATTTTTAGTCTAGATATTATTTGTTATCTTATCCTTATCTTTGGTCTTACTAAGTATCCTATTCACTAATCTTTTAACTAAATTTTTTTAGTTATCTTTTTAGATAGACCTTCTCTTTTATATACCACTTTCAACATATTGATTGTTAATCTGTTTAAACTATTTCTTAAGTTTTGTTCCTGATTCTTTTCAACTTTGTCTTTTAAAACATTATCTGTAGCTGTTGAACTTAAGCTTATCTCTTGTATTTCACTAATATTATCTATTATTTATCAATTAAGACTATCTATTTTCTTATTTTCTTGACCATATAATATATTAATAAAGAGTTAGAATTGCATTGAGCTTGCAGTAAAGTAAAAAGATATTAAACAAATTCCAAAATTATTTCTTATATACCTTATATATAACCTTATACTTACTTAAATATTATATTATCATTTCATTTCTTTAACTACTTGTATATGCATAACCAAAAACTTCATTATGTTATATCAGTAATTGGTTTTTGATTTTATGACAAATGACTGTTCCATGACTTCATTTACAGCATTCCAATAAAAATTATTAAAAAAAATTTTTTATTAAACTGTTTGTATAAACTTAATATATAAAATTTGTATAATATAATAAAAACTAAAAACTAATATAAGTTTGGAACTCATATCAGTTTCTGAAAAATCTTATTATATATGTTATAAATTAAATTTTTTAAAGAATTACAACTAAAAATACCAAAACTATGTTTACTATAAATGTATTAAAAATTTAATTTTAATTATCAAAAGACATAAAAGTATAAGTCTGTTGCTTTACTTCAAATAATTAAAAATAATTATAATACAAACAAATTTTTTAAATTTTTACTTCTAATAAGATTTAAACTTTTGGCTTTTTATTTAAAAAGTATTAATTTTACCATTTTGCTAAGTTATCATATTTTAAGTATTATATATTTATAATTTTAAAACTTACAATTTTTAAATATAAAATTTATTAAGCCGCAACTCTAATTATATTTATAGCAAAAAATGGTAGGTTGATGAAATATCATTTGATTATCTTGTAAATAATTTTATCGAACCTATATTGTGTTCAAATAATATATTTAAAATTATATTCTTTTATATAAATTTATATTATAAAATTAAAGGTTGTCACTTCTAATTTATGCAAAATATAATTTTTATATATAGTACTACTCATTGCAAATGCATTTTTTTATAAACGCGCCATAAAGTATAAAATCTTTGGTTCTTGAAGTACAGTCGTCCCTCATTAATATCAACCCCGTTAATATCAACCTAGACTATAAACCAAAATTTTCTAAATTTTTATATATTAAAACTTCCTCATATATATCAACTTTAATATAATCCCTTATTAATATCACTATCAACATGAATTTAAACCAATCCAAATAGGTTGATA